ACTACTACAATTAGGCATATGGCAAAGTGGGTGAATAAACCAGCCTCCATGGCCGCTGATTGTCGCGGCAGATAGAGAAAGATGGATTCTGTAATTCGTTAAATCCGACCATCAATCCCGCTGATAATACTGTCTCTACTAAATTAAGCTTCTTAGGTATTTTTATATTTCAATTTTAAAGGATTTTTCTGTTGATTGTTCAATTTGTTTTATAATTTGATTGATTTCACACTATAGTTATTATTTTATTTTGTGTTCTGGTGGAAATTTATTTTATTTTAGCGTTAGATTACAGTATTGTTGTGTATATTGTTGATAATTTCATACTCTCCCTTTTTTGAAATATTTGGTTCGATTAGGTGGAATTTAGCCTTTAGTTTACGACTATTTCATCAAATGTCACTGAGTACTTAAAAAATTAACCAAATGTCATTATGGTCTATTTGGATACAACCATTTCATTTAAAATTCTGCATTTAACTCAATTCATTTGTTTGGATATTTACAATATTTGGAATTGTATTTAAATGAATTCCACACACATTTAAATGTAACTTATATTTTGGAATTTCAAATTCAACTTTAAAACATGTCATTTCAAATTCAATTCATCAATTGTGTCGTGATATTTTGGGGCTTGCGACTTCACTCTCAAAAGATGCTCTTATCTTCAACCTTTGTCCTGGAATTATCTCCTCCATTTTTGTCTTCCTCATCTTCTCTCTCCTTAAAACTCCATTGTTGATGCCATTAGAGTTCAAATAATAAAGCTTATTGTGCCTCTTCATCCCTCTAATTTGCTATATGAAAAACTACGCATCCTACGACAATTTGGAGATATAAAATCTTCTCTTATTGTTATTGAAGTCTTAAATTTTGTCTTTTTGAGATTGTTGCCTTCAATTGCATGTCTGTTTATAAGCTTCAATTGCAACAGCTTGTTTGGTTATTTTTCATTTTTTTATCCTTATAAATTGTAGTCTATATTATATTGTAATGTTATTTTTGGGTTTTAATTTCCCCTTTTGAGATTCATAATCTTTATAGGTAATTGACCAAATTGATACTTCGTATAAATTAGTACTTGTAATTGCAATGACTCATCATACCAACTTCTTATACAGCTTATGTATTCTTGAATTGAAATTCTACAAATTCCCAAACAAATTATTTGGAATTGAATTGCAAAATTTCAAATTCTTGATTTCAATTCCATGATTGGAAATGAAATACAAGTTTCCAAACACAACCTTAAGGTTTTCTAAATTCACCAAATGTCATCGAGCTTTTAAAAAATTCACCAAATGCCATTAATGACTAACGGTCGTTAACTCCGTTAGTCATTAAGATTAAATCTTGACACGTGTCATAATATGATTGGTTCATTTAATTATTTATTTTAATTAATAAAAATGATATTTTTTTTCTTCATTTTCGTGGCAAAAATTGCTCGGGTATAGTTTTGGGGTCATTTTGATTCTTTATGGAAACAAATTAATCTCGGAATTGACAAAAAAATAACGTAAATGCTCCATTTAGTGTGTTGAAAAATATTTCGATTAGCGTGTCGTTATTTTTTAACCATCAAAATTGATCAGGTAAGGTTTTGAGGGTCATTTTGATTCTTTATGGATACAGATTAAGCTCAAAATTGACAAAAAATAACATAAATGCTCCGTTTTATGTGTTGAAAATATTTTGATTAGCGTATCGTTATTTTTTAACCATCAAAATTGATCGGGTAAGGTTTTGGGGGTCATTTTGATCCTTTATGGATACAAATGAAGCTCAAAATTGACAAAAAAAACATAAATGCTCTGTTTTGTGTGTTGAAAAATATTTCGATTAGCGTGTCGTTATTTTTTAACCATCAAAATTGATCGGGTTAGGTTTTGGGGGTCATTTTGGTCCTTTATGGTAACAAATTAAGCTTGAAATTGACTAAAAAAATAACATATATGCCCCGTTTTGTATGTCGATATCGTAATTTTTTTTCAGAAAAAAAATGCAAAACGGGGTATTTACGTTTTTTTTTTACCAATTTCGAGTTTAATTTGTACCCATAAAGGATCAAAATGACCCCTAAAACCTTACCCGAACAATATTAATCACGAAAATCGAAAAAACGTATTATTTTTATTCATTAAAATAAATTATTATTGTGTATTAATTTTAAAAAGTAATAGCATTTGGTGAAACAATTTTCCAAAGTAATGGAATTTGGTGATATAAGAATTGCATTAACGGAAAATTAATGTCCATATGCTATTGGTGGCACGAGGTGTCATTGTATTATTTGTCAGAGCATTTGGTGAATTTTGAAAACTTTGATGGCATTTGGTGAATTTTTTAAGTACTCAATGGCATTTGGTGAAATAGCCATTTAGTTTATTATTGATCTGTGTAGTTCGATCCTAAATTGTACTCCCTCCGTCCCCGATTGATAGTCACTTATGTCATTTTTGGGCATCCAAAATATTAGTCACATTTGCTTTTTTCAAGTACCATTAATGTTATTTTTTTACCAAAATTCTCTAACATTCATTTGTGCAAATTTAACTTTCTACTGTAAATTTTACTTTCCCATGTACTTTAATTACCTTCTTTCTCTACTTTTTTGCATACCCACCATGAACTTTAATTATTTTTCTCTCTACTTTTTTGCATACCCAATGTAAATTTACTTTTTCAATGTACTTTCTTTAATTCTCCTTAGTTTCTATGTTTTTTCTTCAAAAGTGACTTATCAATCGGGGAAGGAGGGAGTATAAAATTTCATTGTATAGTTTTGATCTTGATTCAATGTCTGATTTAGTTTTTGAACATGTTAAGTTTTCATTGGTTACGTTTTAACCCTCAACTTGAATATTGTATGTTCAGTAGTTGCTTATAAGTTTAGTAGATTTTAATCTTGTAGATCGTCTCTTCCTAGACGAAAAATACCCCCTTTTTACAGTTGATCCTCATAATGTTATGCACCTATCATATTAGTTATCGTCGTATTGGACAGAAATTAGATTGTGGTTACAATTCACTAAAGTCAGAATTGAAATTTGCTAATTGCTCTTTTAGCACCAACTAATTGTAAAATAAAAATTAATGATTGTGAATGCATAACATTGTCACAGATAATATGTTAATGCAGCCAGGCTAGCCACTGAATCTATTGTCGTTGATGCAGCCGATGTTGAATCTTTTGTTGTCATTGTAAATGATGTTGTCTTTGTTATAGATCCGTTGCATATTCTTTTTTGGTTTCTTGAAGAGCTACAATTGTTATTGAGATGGGCTAAAGCTTTTTTTGTTTGATGTTATAGGACTTCGGTGAAGAGCCGGAAGGGCCAATGTCGTTCAGCAGCACATCATGTCTCACAAATGCTCACATATGAGATCCCTTATTGAACTTGACTGGTTTTACGCTTCGAACAATAGCAACAAATTGATACGTTCTGGCCTTATCAACTTCAGCTCAGCAGATTATGTTAAGTTAAAGTAGAAGACACGAACATAATTATAGATTGTATTTATCTAGTTTTTAGTGTATTATAAACACAAATAAAATAAATGTTGTAACTTTTGTGTATTTGTATGTGATTCTGCACTAATTTCGTTTAAATAAATGCAATTTTTTCTTTTTTATTATATACTACCTCCGTTAATTGTTTTGTGCAACTTTAAAGGGTTTCACAGTTGCCAATGCAAAAAATGGATGGCATTGATTAAGGGATAGTTTGATGAAATTAATTAAATGTAGAGGAGAGAGAGAGAATGGTCCCCTCATGTGCTTTAGTGGGGAAATCAGAATTCTTTTGGTTGGAAAGCTAATTCCCTCCATTTTTTCACCAAATTTTCAAACAATTTGAAATTTTGGATGGGTTTAAAATTCCCTCCATCATTTAATAAAAAGGGTCCATTTAATTCATGTCACCAATTTAAACAGCAACCATAAGGCATTTATGAGGCTTATAAAAGGAAGCCCCCATTGTCAAAAAGCTTTGATAGTTCAAAGCATTAAATACAGCAACATCATTGTTTAACCAAAACCATTAAATGTTTAATCCCAAAAGTTAGCAGCTAAATCCTAAAATTTGCCCCCACTAATCCGAAAAATTACATTGAGGGGGAGGTTAGTCCTGCACAAGGATATCCACCATCTTCAAGAGTGCTTAGCCTCGTTGTTTATGTACACAAAAGTGTAGGTCATCTTCACAAAAACTGCATCTGCCACCCCTACAGCCTCATCAACAACCTAGAAAAAAAAAGGGACCCCTAAAATGGCAGAATTCGATGAATCTCAGCACATTGATGTTGATGAATTACTGACAGAGGAACTCATGGAAGAATTGTACTTCAAAAAGGAAGAACAAATTCAAGATCAAGACTTAGAGTTATATGACTCTAACAATGAAAACATGCAGCAAGAAGAAGAGTCTGAATAAGGGACTCAAGAAACAGTTGGGGCAGGTCATCAAGAGACCATCCATCAATATCAAGATCAAGAACAAGTACATGCAACAAACACAATCAACAGAAAACAGCTTACCATGTATCAGAGAAGAGAGATTGTTGATGCAATGTTGGTTAAGATGCAAGATGGAGCTTTGCCAAGAGGATACAAAATGCAACTTTCAACACAATTCAGAGTGCATAAATCAACAATCACCAGAATATTTACAGACATAAAAAAAACAGATGGAAGAAGGGGATATGATTGATGTCAGAACAAAGAAGTATGGCAGGACAGGTCCAAAGCCAAGAAAATTCACAGATGAATTCCTACAATCAGTCCCTCTTTATTTAAGGCAGACAGAAAGGTCATATGCAGCAGCACTCAACATTTCACATGTCACTCTGCACTACTTGAAGAAAAAGGGTAGGCTAAGAACACACACAGCAAGTTGCAAGCCAGCATTAACAGCAAATCACAAGATAGCAAGAATGAAGTGGGTTTTAAATCATATAAACCCAGTTGAAGGAAATCAGGACCCACTTTTGAAGACATGAGTTATGTCATTCACATAGATGAGAAATGGTTCTACTTGAACCCTGACAAAAGAAGGTTTTATCTCCTTCCAAGTGAAGAAGATCCATACATGGCACAACAGTCAAGAAGATTCAAGTTAAAGGCTATGTTCATGGCAATTATTGGGAAGCCATTGTATGGCATCAATGGGGAACTACTTCATGATGGAAAGTATGGGATTTTCCCATTCACAGTCCAAGACAGAGCAAAAAAGTCAAGCAAGAACAGAGCAGCAAGAACAATGGTCACAAGGGCCCTTCAGAATGTAAATATAGAGGTCATCAGAGACATGTTACTTAACAAAGTAATTCCAGCAATCATGGATAAATGGCCTCAAAGTCTGCCTAAGAATGTTTTCATACAATGGGACAATGGGCCACATCAAATACCAACAGATGAACAGTTTGTTGCAGCAACGAGAGCCAATGGGTTTAATATTCAATTTGTGTTCCAACCAGCTCAATCTCCTGATCTAAATGTGTTAGATCTAGATCTGTTCAGGTCTATACAGTCTCTACAGTATCAATCTTTTCCTAAGAACCTTGATGAGCTAGTTCAGAAGGTGATTGACTCTTACAACACATTCAAACCAAAAGTCAATAAGTACATATGGGTCACTCTACAGAGATGCATGATCAAAATACTCAAGGCACAAGGTGGGAATAGGTATAAAATTCCACACATGAACAAGAAAAAACTTGAAAATCTTGGCATTCTTCCAGATCAAGCATGTTCAGAAGGAGATAGTGTTAGAGGCTGTAGAGTACTTGAACACAATGTTCAGACCAGCACCAGAAGAGACTCAAGTAGCAGCAGAGGACATGGAGATGGATGCAGATTAGACAAGGGTACACAGCAAATCAGGACATCAGCATATACTGCCACACATAACCATCTGAAGTTCTTTTTGTTTTTTTTAAATGTTTTGAAATCCAAATGAATAGGTGGTTAGGTGTATTTTGTGTCTTAGGTTTTCATATACCACTAAGGCAGTTATGTGTAAGTCCTAGTACTCATGTAATAAGCTTTTTGTAGCCACATTTTGAATGGAATGAAAAAGGTTGTAATGTGAAGTTTAAAAAATCCATCAGAAGATTTAAAGTGTGTTGAATACAACAACTCAAACAAGTTTACCTTAACAATAATCACTTAATTGTGATTGATGGAGCAACATACTTGTTCAAATTGAAATTCAAAGGAGTCCCTTCATCATATGGATTATACAATAACATCATACTCAGAAAAAATTAAAGGGACTCTAAACTGAGTACTACAAAGGCAACATTGAGGGACTCACAGTCAAAGTGTTCTCTTCCAAAAAGGTCATTGAGAACATTATATGCAACACACAAGCCAAATTAGCCTCATCATTCATCAAACATATTCCCTTAAAGGCCAAAACAAGTTCAAACACAGTAATGATACAAAAACTTCATTTAAGGCAATTAACAATCAACATAACCCAGCATTCTACCCACAATCCATCTATCACCAATAATCATTCAACCAACAAATACCACAAACAGAATCAAGCCAAAAATATAGCAGACCAATCATAAAATCCACCATCAACATTTGTCATATTCTATACTCCAACAACAGTAATAAATCAACCAACAACACCCACAACCAGAATCAAGGCCAAAATACACCAGATCCATCAAATTATCCACAATCCAACAAAGTATCCACAATCCAAAACAATCATACACCATATTCCACCAACAATAATCAATCAACCAACACAACACACAAACATCAACATTCAACACCAAATATCAAGCATTAAAGTGGGACTTTTCAACCAACAAATAACAGCATACAATCAAACACAAGCATCAATAAATAGGGACTCAAAAAATGTAAGGCATAAGGTAGGGATAGAAATCGTTACGAGAGCATTCACTCAGAGGGTTAAACACTAGGGTTCATCCGCCTCACAAAGCAGTGCACAACAGGGACAGAGGAAGAGGCAGCATCTGCTTTCTTAGAGGGTGGTTCCTCAACAGCCTCGTCATCAGAGGACAGCACGATGTACTCGGTGTCAGGGAGCCCACACATCCTTCACAAAGCCACACGCGCCGCCTTCCTCGAAGACTGAACCTTAGGTGGTGGCCTTTCCCTCTTGAATGTGGGCTTAGTTGGGGCCACAAAACTCCCCTCTCCACTCCCAGCCACCAGATCTAGAGGAGCCTGTGAGAAATCGAGTGACTTCCGACGGGACTCACCCTGTCCCTCCTCCCTCTTCTGTCTTTCTTCCTCGTCGAAGCTTTTGAGGACTTGACCCAGAGCTCTGTATGTGTATAAGGTACAGTACGGACCCGTTTCGCTGGACTCATAGAAAGCACGAGGGAAGGGTGAACTAGTCTCAAAGCAATGGATGAAATGCTTGATCAGATTCTCCTCCCCTTTGTCGTTGGTAGCCATGTACGCATCCTTCAAAGGATCTAAGTTAACCATTGTTGAGGGGGGAGTTGTGTTTGATAAAGATCGAAGGAGAGAAGTAAAGATCTGGAGAGAGGAGGTGGGAAATCAAAGAAGACGAGGAGAGAGAAAATCCCAAATGATGAACTAGGGTTCATGTGGAGAAAACTCCAGAACAAATAGAGGAGCCCAACCATCGTAATTAATTTTAGGTGGTTGGGAATGTGAGTGAATGAGGAGAGTTGGGGGGAATTGGGGTAATAAATGAAGGGAGTTATTAGATTTAGGTGATGTGATTAGATTAGGTTAATATGATTAGATTAGAGTAAGGGCAAAGATTAAAAAAAAAATTGGTTAAGTAAGAGTAAAACCGTCATTTCAGACCTTTTTCATAACTAAAAATAGAAAGAAATAAGAAAGTTGCACATAATACAAAACATCCCGAAATGGCAAAAGTTACACAAAACAATTAACGGAGGTAGTATATATTTTTAGCTTTGTTAGCTACGGTAATATTTATGGTAACAAAGTTTGGTAGCCACAATACAGATTTGAGGTAATGTAGCTTATTAGTTACGGTAATATTTGTGGCAACAAAGTTTGTCACCATGGTAGAATTTGTTGCAAATAATGTGTTAGCCACGTTAGTATTCGTGGAAACAGAATATTTTTGCCACGTGAATACTCGTAGCATAAATTTCAAAATTTGCCACGACATTCATTTTCCCGTGGCAATTTTCTAGCCACAACCTCTTGTGCCACGGGAAAATTTCAAGATTCTTGTGGCAAAATTGCATAGCCACGGGAATTTTAAACTTGTGCCACGGTTTTACTTGTGGCACAAGGGTCAAATTGTTGTCATAGAGCAACAACATTAAAAACCCTAGCATAAATAACACAATCAATCAGTTCAACAATTAAATTATACAATACAACATCTAATCACATATATATAAATTTTGATCTAAAAATAAGAAATCATATAATTTACACACAATAATATGAAATACAATCAATACAAACTATAATTTATGTGATATTACATTACATATAATAAATAACATAACCAAATTATTCTCAAACAACTCCAAAATATTGAGATAGGGTAATTACCTTTCCAATGAATATTAAAGTAATGAGACACATTTGATAACCACACCCAAATTATGCAGTGAGGGAATGATGAGAAAATTAATTAAGTCAATCATGTTACACGCCACTCGAAACTCACGACCAACTGATCACTTGTGAATTTGTATCAAGACTGAATAATAAAAGGCTTGATGATAAAAGTTTGGGTGAAATCATAAATCATGATGATAATCAATATAGGTTGAGCTATTGCTTAATAAGAAAATCAAGGTTGTTATTGTTCCAAAAGCAAGGTCCTATTTAAATAAAATAGGGTTTTAAAACTTTCCAATTCTAAAATAAAAATATGAGGTTAGGAAAGTTAATTAATAAATAAATTTTTTTTTGTATAAAATATAATATATAAAATCATAAAATATTCGGGTATTACAAGTCAACTTCCTTAATTGTACATATTTTGATATGTTCCTATAATTTTTCTCAATAATCTATGTAGAAGAACAATTATTCATCATGGACTATGATTGTATCTAATGTACTGTATCAAATTTCAAATCAGGTAAATATTCATTCATTTATGTTTTAATATTGAAAACAAATTAGCAATTAAATTTCCAACTTAATGAATGTTCATAAAGATGATTTGTTCTATTCAAACTCATAATTTATATTTTTGTTTCTTTATAGGGTTTCCCCTAAAGTGAAGATTTATTAAGTTATTTGTTTATTTTTTAACCTTCTTTTTTATGCTTATTCTAAATATTTAAATCCTTAGTTTTGATTGAATTTTAATTACAATTAATATTTATTGCCATTCAAACTTATATGGACTTACCAATTGCATGTATCGTTACCTCATCGCTACGGTGTTTTAAGTTTTTTTTTCAAATGAGAATAAAACTGTGAGTTGCTCGTATCTTGTGTTATTAACTTATAAATTCAATCTCCTATATATTTTAAACTTTTGCTAATAATTTTACCATTACTTTTAATAGTTGTTCACATTCACATATAATCTAATATGTATAAATGTACAAAAATCAAGCGCTCTTGAGAATTGATGGACTAATGACTAACCTTTGAACCTAAATTTGAAATCGGAGCATTTAAAAATGACAGTGACGCCTTTAAATGTTGTTTGCTACAAAAAATAATAATGAATTATTTTGGTTTTGTGCAATTCAATAAATATTGTAATTATTGTATGAAAGGAGAAGGTGAGTATCATTCTTAAGTATGAATTTTTTCCATATATATAGCATGGCCATGCTAGTAGTGACATTTTTTTATGTGCTATACAGTAAGTTATGGGTCGAAGAGAGAACAATAATGTATGAGTTAAAAAAAAAAGTAATCCAACAATGTCATTTAAACGTGTCAAATTATAAATAAACTTTATCTCGAAAAAAGAAGAGGACATTTTTATAACAAAATGTGCTAAGTAATAGAAGGCAAAAGGAATTGTACATGCATTACGTATAAAAAACAAAGTAAATACGGAGTATTTCAAAAGAATTATCGTAAAAAGAAAATGTAATGATTATAAAAAGGACATTTTGTGAGAAACTACCTTTTAAAGCATTTTTTTTGCGAGAAACTACGTTATAAAAAATGTTGTAAAAAACTACATTATAAAAGCTAAATGTTGTAAGATACTACCCTTGGTCGGAAAGTGAGAGTTGACTTAATTTTTCCGGCGTTGACCTAGTCATATGCCGGTTACGTGACGTTTAATTCATCTTTCCCCATTTTTCCCTAATTTTTCCCGAACCTATCCATATAATACCCAAGATGAATTAAATGTCATATGACCGGCACATGACTTGGTCAACGCCGGAAAAATTTAGTCAACACTCACTTTCCGACCAAGGGGTAGTATTTTTTTTTTTTTTGAGGTAGGGGGTAGTATCTTACAACATTTAGCTTTTATAAAGTAGTTTATTACAATATTTTTTTTATAAAGTAGTTTCTGACAAAAAAATTGTTTTAAAAGGTAGTTTCTCATAAAATGTCCTTATAAAAAAAAAATCACACAAGAGTTTTCTACTCTGTAATCAAAACATGAAAGGGGTGTTTTTTCCATCACGTTTAGCGCGAGGAGCTCTAGTATTCTGTAGGATTTTTGGGCAAACCCTCCAATTCCTCCGATCTTGGACCATTTTCCAAATACCCAACTCCGACAACGAAAAGTAAAGTAACTTGTCTGTTTCTGAAGTCTAAAGTTAACTAAGATACAGCACTAGAATATCTTCCACTGAATTAATAATTCTAGAAAAATCCAACATCTTCCCAAAAATTACAATGTCACTCATTTTCAAAACCTCAGTTGCATTTAATACTCCTTAAAAAATCTTCTGCAACTTTTAGCATAAAAAAACAATAACAATGGTGGTTTCAACTATCTCTCATTTTCACCTCAAATTCCCACCAAAACATACCAAATTCTCCACTATTCACCCACCAAAAACCAGGTCCCAAATTCTCTGTTGCGTATCATACGACCCTCCTGCCTTTGACTCCTCTAATGCAGGAAAAACAGATAATAAGAAGAAGGAATTGAGAGTAGTATTTGCCGCGGGCGGTGCCGGGGGTCAAATATTCCCGGCAGTAGCAATAGCAGATGAGATCAAAATCATAAAGCCAGATGCTAAAATTCTGTTTATTGGTACTGATTCAGGAATGGAATGCACGGCCGTGCCGTCTTCCGGGTACGATTTCTCTGCTATACCAGCTACCCCATTACTCCGCCCTATATTGTCCTTCAAAAATTTGAGCATTCCTTTGAAATGGGTAAAGTCAATGATTGCAAGTTGGAATATAATGAAGGAATTTAAACCCCAAATTGTAGTTGGAACTGGTGGTTATGTCTCTTTCCCAATTTGCCTAATTGCTGCTATTAAAGGATTAAAAATGGTTATTCAAGAACAGAGTTCTGTTCCTGGGTTAGCCAATTGGTTTCTTTCTCTTGTTGCTGACTTAGTTTTTGTGGCTTATAATTCGTCTGTTGATCGGTTTCCAGCTGACAAGAAGAAGGTTGTTGTAAGTGGGAATCCTGTGAGGTTGTTGTTAAAGAAGAATGTGTCGACAGCTGTGGCACGGTCGTATTTTTTCCCTAGGTTGGCTAATGTTTCGGATTCGGAGGTGGTGGTGCTGCTTGTGCTTGGGGGCTCTTTTGGGGCTAATTCTATGAACATTGCTCTATTTAATATCTACTTTCAAATGTTGGAGCAGCGGCCGAATTTGCATATTATCTGGGAGACTGGTGTGGAGTCATTTGATGAGATGGAGAGTCTTGTTCGAAATCATCCTCGATTAGTTTTGGCACCGTGAGTTTTTGCTTATGTTCAATTTCACTTTTATGCTGTGCCATAGGTGTTTTGGGAGGGATTATGTTCAAGATTGCATTCGATATCTTTTTTCATTTACTTATTAGGAGTGTGTATTTCACTTGATTGTTTCTAGCAAATGTTTTCAGTCCATAACTTATGGATGTAATGGTTAATCCATGGAAAATACTTTTCTGATTTTGTTATAATTTCTGCAGGAAGTCAAGTCTAACATACATTTGATGGTTTTGGCATATGATTAGTTTTTCTTATTGTAATTGAATCTCCTAATGGCTTCATTATTAGGCATGTGACTCTGCAAGTAGTTGCTAGTTTTGATTTCTTTAGTAACAGACCATGTGCCTTGTGGTCAATTCTATGTTTCAGCAAGTAATTAATTAATTATTAGGCATTTTCTATTGTTTCCTTAAATTGTTGATATTCCTAGCATGTTAATTTACAAGAAGTCAATATAAATTAGTGGGCAAATTCATGATCCCTTGTAATGCAGCATTACCTTTTTACATGCAACTTCAAGGAGAATCTCTTGTCTAATGTCTAATGCAATAGGTTACATTTTCCAATTTTTGTTCTACAAATACAATGTAGAACTTTATATGATTAGATGCAAAAAGAACTGCGTTTATGCAATAAGTTCTTACTTTTAAGAAGAAAATATGATCAGATATTATTTCTAGTGATATCCATACTTAACCATGTAAAATTTTTGTTATCACTACATAAATAATAAAAAAAATGGCAAGGAACTTTCTTCTTTATTATAAACCTTCTTCTTTATCTTCTTTGAGTTTGAGAACTTCTTTGGTAAAGTTACATGACAAGTTAGTATGCCCACTGCATCAAATTTTGATTCCCTGGATAAAATGTTTTGTCAATACAATCATGCTATCTTCACTGTATATGATATGGCCTTGTTATGTAATGTTAAATCATTTGATGAACATAGGCTGATCTGTATCTTTTTTCTGGTTTACAGACATGCGTCTGTTGTCAAATTTTTATCTAGCCTTTTTTGTTAGTGTATATCACAGAATATTATTCATAAACCTGTTTTGTTCGTATTTTTTTTTATTATGTGTCAAGCTTTAATTTGCATCTTTTTAGTCCATGAGTCTGTCTAATAGCCCAACCACCCCCCATCCTTTTCAGAATTTCAGTACATGATCTGAACATGATTTTTATTATTTATCTTTATAAGGTTTTTGCGTTCTATGGACATGGCATATACAGCAGCAAATCTTGTTGTTTCTAGGGCTGGAGCGCTGACTTGTACTGAACTACTGGTTACAGGGAAACCTGCCATCCTGGTAACAATCTTAGTTTCCTTTATGGTTTTTTTTATCCTTTAAATTGTTATGATCATGTCAGGTGGCTTGCATTTGGTTTTGATAATTTTTTACAAGATATTCGATTATATTTTGTTGTTATGACATCTGATATGACAAATCTAAATTAATACTGCAACCTATCTCTAGATAGAAATACTCCTTCTGTTTCTTTAATATTCCATTTTGACTTTTTCACCGTCACATGTACTTTGACCATATTTTTCTACTAGTGTATAATAGTGAATGTTATCATGTAAAATATGATTGGATAAGACTAAATGTGTGTATTCAAATCATCAACTCTTTTTTTTCTTACTAAAACAAAATTTGAGATTTTAATGACTAAGGTTGTGCACTAGCAAATGTAAAGGTAGTACATTTAAGAAGTTAAAATGTTGGGAGTAATAGCAAAACTCCACACCTCATAATAATTAGCAACATATCTGTGGATATTAGGGTGTGTGTGTGTGTGTGTGTGTGTGGCAGTGTGGCTGGGTGTGTGTGGGGGGGGGGGGGGGGGGGGGAGTGATGGGACATGACATGGATGAAGAATGGTCATGGAGAGCAGAATGAGGTTCATAATCTAGTCTTTGAATGTTTTAGTAGGGAAAAGAGAAGAAAAGTATAAGATGTGTGTTTAGTGTTGGATTGCAGTACTAGAATTGTCTGAAATGTTGACTTATTGATGGAATGGAATGAAAGCATAGGATGGCACGGGATTCATTGATTGAAGGTTTTTATTTTCTCTCTAGATTTTTCCTATCTTCTTTGTATTAATGTAGTTATAAGGCTTACATATGCTACCCATGGCACACAAGGAAAACACTATGTTTGGGCGTAGGTGAGTTCAAAGCTCTGAATAGGCTTGGTTCATGTAGGTAAGTAATTTAGGCCTTCTGCATTGCAGATTGTATTACAGTTGTATGCGTGAATGCGGATGCATATATGATTCACTAAAACTTATATGACGTCATGGGGCAGCTGCTGGCTGTGGCTTGAGGCTCAATTACAACAGTATTAAACTAATATTTAGTAGCCCGCTCTTACATGATCATCAACCAGAACTTGTCAGTTCTTTATGATGGAGAGATTGATGTTTCCTTATGGTTCTTATGGTGGACCTGCACTTGGTGTAATTAACCTTGAAAAGAAACCACCATGACACAATGTTAAAGTAGATTGAACAATGTACCCGAATTGGACATCCCAGAAAATAAAAGTGATATGAGTGCCTTGATATGTGAAGCTGAGCAATTGGGCAATGAGCTGAGATCACCATGGGGTTTATCTCCTTGAAGGCAGAAATATTCAGCACCTGGGATAAATTAGAAAGTTTGACCATCTCCCAAACATCATATGTTTTAGTAAACGTCCTTTAACTTTCTTTGTGTAGTTCATGCTGTACTGATGAACTATAAACATGCCTAAAAATTAAGCAAAGCAATAGACATATTATAAATCATAATTGGGATCAACTTCTTTGCTTATTGGCTGCTGACTTGCACAAAAATAATACAGTAGAAAACTGTCTCAAGCCAATGTTTACAAAAGAGACTAATCAGATTGATCACCTGTCATTTTAAGCCATGTATTATAAAAATTTGGAAAGAAATGTATCATTTTTAGATCCAATCTACCACTCCAATTGGTTAAATAGCTAAAACTATACTTTCTTTTATTTTATAATGTAGATATCCTGTTTTCCTGCAGGTAGAACTTTTCTAGGTACTGTAGTATCTTTTGCTGTTTACAAAATATATATAAATACATGTCCTTTAAAATATTGCATCCTTATCCTGGTGAAATTGTGTAAAATTATGAATATTCTTTGGTGCATTCTTTTACTTATGTGAACATGAATGTCATTCGTTGCCAATTTGCCATTTGAATTTGAGTGTCTTTTGTTTTAATTGTAGTGCTTTGGCTACCATTTATGCCATCAATCTCTGTATAAGTCTATCGTAAAGTTACTTTTATCAAACGATTTGCAGATTCCTTCTCCAAATGATGCAGAAGGACATCAATTCCAAAATGCATCTTTGATGGCAGATTTAGCTGGTTCAAGAATTTTAACTGAAGATGAACTTGATTCAACAACTCTACGAAATGCGATCAAGGATATTATAGGTATATCAAATTTCCTTTAAGCTTCTTAATTATTCAAGAAACAGTAAGATATGCACTTCGTTATGATCACTGCATCCTAGAAAGATTTAAAATTCTGTTTGGTGTTTAGGACATTATCGGTATACCATTTATTCAGGAGAAAAAACGTTGTTTGTTCTGCAATTAATCACTCATGTTTTTTCTCCTGTTTTGACCAATATAGATGATTTATTTCAAAGAGTGAAGTAGTTAAGTTTGTAACTTTAGAAAATTAATCAGTTACCTAAATAGGGAAAATTCTTCCACCTCTCTTGTTGTATTTCCTTTCCTTTGTGCTTCCTCAAACATTGATAACTTTATTGATGGGCAATCCAAGCATGTCGTTAATTGCTCAAACCTCATTAACAAAATTTATATACTCAACTACAACAAGACATAGTATAGGGTAAGTCGAGGTCGATCCACGAGGAATGGAAGGTTAAGTGCTATAGTCTTTCTTAAGCTATTCCGAAGAGAATGAAAATGGTTTGGTGTAGACTAAGTTTCAACAACTAATCAAGTATGAAAAATTAATATCATAAGCACTAGGGATTTAGGATCCACATACACTCACAATAGAATTGCTAATTGGATGGGAGATTGATCAATCAAACATTGCAAGGGAAAATAGCAATTGCAATCAAGAGGACTCGATAACCTATTTCCTAGGCGCCAAACTAGGGGTCTCTATGAATGACTAACTAGGAATATCACAAATCAAGTTCAATCGATAAATGTAATCTCCAAATCAATGTGTCGTATCATTGGAGAGTTACAATGCAATTCAGCTTGAGAATCAATGTTAGCTACTCCTTAACAAATCAAACACATATGCACAACTTCCATCAACTAATTTAATCACAATATCATATCAATCAAAATCCACCAATTAGATATGATACCATTTATGCATGTTTCACCACATCCCCAGCAAAGAATCTACTCACTACACATGGTGAAAATAAAGAACAAAACTAAACAAATCATCAAAATCATCATCATCGTTACAATTAAACTATCAACAATCAAATCAATTAATAAACTAGAAAATTCAACAAATTATCAAAATCAAATGCAAAAGATTGGATTAAAAAGAAGAAGATTCTTACAAAGTTTGATCAAAATCAAAGAAAATGTGCTTGCATTCAAAGAAGAAGGAAATAAAATGTAGCAATCATCCAATTCTCAAGTTTCTATCTCTAAAATCTAAGAACTAGAATTTCCAAACATAAACTTCTCTATCTAAAAATCTACTCTCCAAAACTCACTTTCTCTAAAATAGAAGGAAAATCTATATATAGTAAAACTAACTAAGGAGAAATTAGTTGGACGTCCAAATAAAACCCGTATAGGCGCGCCCACACTCCGGAATGCGCGACCGCAAAAATAAGTGTACGAAACAGGAAGCAAGTGCCGCCCCCTGGAGCAGGGGACTTCCTCCATGCGATTATCGATGCAATTCGTGCGCTCCACTTGATCGCCATTGGGTATGGCAGTCCCAAAACATGATGACGATGGGTTCAACACCACTTCTTCATGCAAGCGCAGCATGAGAGCACATGCTCGAAGTCTTGGAACTAGCATATCTTGCCTTGTGAGCCACAATGGGGCATCATCCTTCCATCTTGAGCATCTTAAAACCCGAGGAAAAGTCATGGAGAGCCTTGGACATCACCTCTCTCCGGCGTTCTGCTCAGAACATAGAAATATAAACAAATAAAAGAGAAAAAGCAATAAACCTGTTGCTAGGAGGTCAAAGAAGAATTGGGAAGGAAACACCGGAGCTCATGCCTAAGCAACCAATCAAACACCTCATCATCATCATTTTCGCAATGAAGTTCACTTGCTTTAGTTGAGTGATGTCAAGGTAGAGCTCTTCTGCATCCCTTACTGGAGTACATGGAGCTAGGTAACGATCATACCTAAGCTTAGAAGCCAACTGAGTGATCATGCTTCCACAAGTTATCTCCCTAGTTCTCCTTCCACCTACCATGGACTCACAACTCCTCATAAAAATGTGCCCCATATTCAACCTCCTTCGCCACTCCTCTCTAGTGGCTAACTAAACCACAACCAACTCTAGCTTCGACAACTTTCCCAAATCTTGTTTTGGGAAAACCGAGTATCCCATAATCCGTTGTAGAACCCGAAGACAAGGTTGATAAATGTTACTAGCAAAGGAGTATCGGGTGGAAAATCTATCCTTGCTCGAGATAACATTCCACCAAGCATATTCTGCAAACCCATTGAATGCTCATGCTCTGGGAAAAGGTCGGCGGCCGGGTTGAAGTCTAGAGTCGCATTAAATTCTGCAAGGGATAGAGTGTGGGGCTTGTCAAAGAGTTGGAAATAAATTTCAAATTCGGCATCACCCACTAGAGTAGTGGTGAAAGATGCAAATAACTCTCTTGTAGACTCAAGATATGTTCGATAGGAAGTGTTCACAAAGACACGAATCCGGAGGTTTTCAAATAACATCCATAAATACTCGTTGATACCCAATTTGATTATATCTTGTTTGGGATAGTGGCGAGAGGGTCTTAAGGTTCTTTTCTTGAGATCATTGTAGATTGGTTTATGGAGTGGGTTTTTGAATTTTAGAGTGGGCAAAGGTAGAGGCTCATCGGACTCTCGTGTTTGGGGTGTAGGTTCCTCGATTCTCACTTTGGTTTCCTTTCCTTTCCTCTTCTTTGAGGACAAAGATTTCAAGATTTTTGACATGATGATTCCACAAAGATGAAAACCAATGAACCAATATCACAACCACAAACACTAGCAACACCACCACACCACCAATAATTCAACAAAACTACCACAACCAACACCACAATGCTACTACCACAACTAAGAGGCAATTTCCAACTTCACCAAATAGCCATCAAAATTGCACAACAAAGATAAACAATCAACAACAACAAATGTTAAGTAAAAAGAATTAGCCAACAACAATCATATGCATCGACATATTAATTATCAAAGTAACCAAAAACAATAATACTACTATTAACAATCATGAAATAATCAAAGTCTCAATAAAAAATGATGAAACAATCTAAAAATAGGAGTAGAGAAGATGATTATACCATACAAGGAGAAAGATCTCTTCTATATTTATGATTCAATTCATCCAATGAATATCACCTAGAACCTCTGCATCTTAGTTATGGCCTGCATTAATAATGCAAATTTTTGAACAAGACACAAATTATCTTGACAAACATGAAGTACAAAAACTAGCCAATTGTTCTCTTTATCCGATGGGGATAGACTCTATATGGGCCACCATCTTGTGCAACTGTGAAGAAGATCAATTTGTTATAAGTTGGTTTAGAAAATGTGGCTATGTGTTTTTTGGTTGTATAAATCCCAGCATCAGTACAACCATTTATTGGCTCATTAAACTTTTTATGTTTTTTATCTATTGTGAAGGCCTCCTCCACCCGTAAAACCAAGTTAGAATTCTATTGTCCGGCCGTTGGACGATTTTGATGGATGTGAATAATTTTTAAACATCAAGGTGGTTTGTAATGAAACTATGCTGTTTAACTGCATGAAATAAGTATTTACCGGGATAGAGGGAATTTTCAAGTTAAGATATGGGCACTAGATAGTAAGACCAATATCAAAGTATCAGACATGTTACTAAGAGTCTAAGACTACTAGTTTTTGTAGCTTCCTCACTTGACCATCTGAAATATAAATCTCATGAATTTAGTTACGAACTGACAATGTACCCAGTGAGTAGTTAACCTCAAATACCAAATTTTCTGTAGTGAAGTTAAAGTTATACTGCCTCCTTTTCAGCATTTCAGCAGAATGGTCATAGGGAGAAAAGAAGAGGAAGATAGAAATAGGTATACAGCAGGGTTAGATTGTTTCTGTATGGCTTTTAATGTGCTGCTTGGAGCAAGATTTACATAATGGGGATGCAATTTAGAAACAGACAGTTATCATGGTGTCTACGAGAAATTAACTTTTTAAATGTTTAAAAGAAAAAAAGAAGGTTAACATTCTAATCGAAATCATCAAACGCATAGTACAGCAGAAATATATCAGTGCTAATCATGATGCTTAACGTCAAACTAAATTCTGAAACAAAGAACCCTATGTATTTTAAGATGCTAGATTATTTTCAAATGACAGTCATCTATTTACAAAACATGGAAGCTATACAAATTAAATAAGTGCCCAAATTTTGATTTAGACAGCAGAGTTTGATAACAAAGACCTTGTAGTATTTAAAAAACTCTATTGGTTCCTTCCTTGAGTTTTTACTTAGTTATTATGAATTACATTGCCAGTTTGGTATCATATGTCAGTTGTCTTTGAATAATAACTCTCAAGATGTTCTGCATTTCTTCCACAGCCAAGAGCAAGCCTAAGCTTGTTGTCTCAGACTTTGCTTCGAATATGTGAATACTACACAATCTGTTGGATTACGTGGGTTCAAAAGAAGTTTATATGATCAATTACATGGAATTATAGTCATAGTTTCTTTTCCTTTCTCAATTATAATTTAATTTGTTAGTGCCCTTCAGTAATTCTCTTGCCTTTTGTATTAGCTTTTTATGAGTTCTTTTATTTATTTTATTGGTTGTGGGAATCATTTTTGTCCTGTGATTCTAAATTACGAATTTAGGTAATATTAATACAAATCCTCGTCATTATTGTCATGTTTCCAGACTTTTGCTTGTCAGTTGTAATGAAGGTTTGTAATCTGGAATTTCATTGCAGATAATGATCTTCTTATGGCAGCAATGTCTGATAGAGCCTTACAAGCAGCAAAGCCAAATGCTGGTGCTGAGATTGCTGAGCGTGTGGTTGCTCTGGTCGAATTAGCATCTGTGAATGCCTGATAGCTGAAGAATGGGAAAGCTGTTCTTGAGTTGTAACATGATCTATATGCTCTCGAGTCATGCACGAGTATCAGTGCTGTTGGCAATTTTTACCAGTGAAGTTGCCAATTGGTTGGACATGGAGCAGCGCATTTTTATGTTACTGTGGTTTACTCTTCTGCAGGATACATACTTCGGACCACTGATATTTCACCTTCTGCTTGAAATGGCGTCCCTGCATTAGTAGTACAGTGAAAAGAGGATTGTGCATAACATATATTACCTCTATACTCCTATGACTATATTAGTCAGTTGAAATAAATGTCAGGCCATTTGCAAAATAGCTGATCCCATTTGATCCTCACTGTTGCAAGTAACTCAGAGCTAGAGTTTTTCTTGCTTGAAATTTCATTTCGTTTTTCTAAGTTTTTAAAGTGAGGGATGTGTAGAAGAGCTTAAAGTAAATTCATCAACAAGAACAAAAGTAAATTAGAAAGGGAGGCGCAATTATTTGGTGTTCTCAGCCCTAGGAAGATTTCTCATTCTTTATGTATCAGCAATTTACATTACTGTCCAAAAAGACAACAAAGCAGTAATCACCGAGAACAAACTATGCACATAACAAGTTCATTGTGAAGGCTAACTATTACTTCCTCTAATTTATTACTTGACCTATTTCATTTAGCATTTTAGGCACACAAATTTAAGAGAGAGTGTAAAAGTAAGGAGGGTAATGCATGTGGGTAGTTGCTTTAATGAATCCCTTCTCCTTAAGTATCTTGTGGCTTATAAAGGAGAGATGCATTCACTACTTGTAATAGAAATTTCTCCACACCTTTTCGCTTTATCATTAATCTACTTGCTATTATACATCTGACTATTTGCAGTAACAATCCAACAATGGAGAAGATCTTGATGGAAAGGATGACATAACCATGAAAGACTTAAGTTTCACATGATATGCTGATTGCAGCATGAAATCACAATTGATGATGATCTTGTACATACTTTAGTTTGGAAGAACTTCTGCAATCAGAGGCAGAGACTGTGCTTGGAGACTCAAACTCCAATGAAGAAGAAGAGGTATGGATTTGTAGCGATCTTGAAATGGATAGTGATATAGATGAAGAAAGTGATGCATCTTTGCATGAAAATTCAGAGCTTACAGACCTAACTGAAACTAAACAAGTAATAAATCAAAAACCTAGGGAACAGACTAACAAACAAAGGGAGTATTTATCATATAGGTTGCTAGCATTGTGTAAGGAATGGAAACTATCAAGAGGGGCATTAAAACTTGCATGCAGGTCAGCAATTCAAAGAATGTGGAAAAATGTTGAGAAACAGGAAATTAACATTTGATGTCAATCATAACAAAACTGTTTGAAGTCAGTCCAAGGATTTTGACACAGAGGTTTTAGTCTAATTAAGCCAAAAACAGAGAACCACTACAAGGACCTTTGTCATAGCTTTAGAAGTTAGCCCCTGAACTGTATACATGCTTCATAAAAAGGGCATCACCGGAGAACATACAAATTCGATTCGTCTCAACTTACATACTCCCTCCGCAAATAGTTATCTGCAACAATTGCCATAAATGGCTGCTTCTATTATGTGCAACAAATTTTTTTGTTTCCTTTTGTAGTAATAATTTAAGTGGTAAAAGACTGATTTACCCTTACTTTTTAAATTAAATGTTGTTTAACTTGTTTTAATTACACACAATTACATCCTAATCATCTATCACACTCTAATGATTCCCACCAAAATTTAACACCCTCACACTCTCTCACATCCACACCCTCTCATCTCCCAAATGCCTCATTCAATGTTCTTCATTAAATTTCTCTCGGTTACGATGCCTCCTTCATCAATTCTGGAGAATATTCTCCAGAACTTCATCAAAACCCCTCTTTTGACTTTCATTTTCTCACTCTCTCTCCTGATCTCTCCCATGTTCTCTCTCCTGCGAAACCCTAACTCTGATTTTTCTCTCCTCCCTCTTCGAAAATGAACCCAGATCCAAATGAGTCCCCTCGAAACGACTCCCCTGCTCGTAGATCTAAGGGATCTACGCTTTACAAGCTGCAGCGAGGCAGTGGTGAACTTAAACCAGTTCACCGTTGCACATCGTACTTCCGGAGATACATTCGAGGGAAAATCGGAGCGAAACTGGCAGAGTACGTGTCCAGCGACGAAGAGGAGCAGGAGAAGGAGGCTTCTATGGAGGGGGAGGGGCCAGATCTAGCCTTGAAAGATGCATCGGGTGGGGAGATGGGTCTCAACAATGTTGAGGAGGGTGATGTTGGCCCTTCCAACGCTGTAGCGGTGGTCGAGAAATCTGCTGATGACTCTGACTGTGTTGAGGTTTAAGTTGCGCAACCCCCTGTAGAGGTTGTGGTGCTCCCTGACTCTCCTATCTCTGGGGGAAGGGTCTTGTCTGAGTCCCTAAAGTCCACTGCGTCTTCCTCCAACTCAGTGGGGAAGAAAAGAGTCAGATCTGTCTTCAACCCGGACTACAGCGACTGGGACCCTGGCTATTTGGCTTTCCTTAGGGACAAGCACCCTAATGATTTCCCTCCCAACAACTAATCTGCACAGCGTAACTATTTCTGAACCCTAATTTTGGTTTTTAATGTTGTTGCATATGCTGGTTGATTTTGAAATTGTTTTGGCTGACTTATTGAGTCCCTTATGTTAGTTTATGGTTTGTGGCAGTCTCTAGTACTCATTGTTGGTGATTGAGTTGATGCTCTGATATATGTTGCTTATATGATGCTGGTATAACCTTGTGTGTGTGTGTTGAGTGCTCTGACATATGTTGCTTACATGATGTTGCTTCTATGATGATGGTTTCACCTTGCTGGTTACATGTGGTATGGTTTGCTGTATTTATGGTGTTGGTTTCTGGTTGCTTTTGTTCAATGTGATGGTGAATTAGGCTTTGTGAAGTCTGTTTGGTTTCTGCTTGTTGAATCAGTCCCATAATGGCCAAGGGAATGGTAGTTTGATGCATGATGAGGCCTGTGTTGGTGCCTACCCATTCCTATTGCATTGATGCCTTTAGTTCTTGCAAGTCTGTGCCTAGCCATGTGTGTCTGAGTCCCTTATGGTGTGCTATGAATGTTTGAGTCCCTCTATGATTCATGTCTTAATGCAGAACTTCCAAATGCAGAAGGGACTCACTTTGACTTGAATGTGTAAGGGGGCTTTGCTCCAACAAGTGTGGTTCACACTTGTTGTTGAGGTATCCACCTTACACCATTCCAATGAAAACAAAGTAACCTATCTGATGGAATTTAAAGAAACTATGCCAATCCATACTTAATTCATTTCAGCACAATAGTTTACAACTCAAAAAGTTTCTAACCATACCGATTCATCACATGACTGCCCTAAATTTGAAAATTTAATCTAGCAAAATACACATAACCAAATCAGACTAAGCATAAACAAAATACAGTTGCTTACATTGTCAAAAAACTTGTTTTGAGCACTTGTTTGGTTATGTGTGGAAGTCATGCCTTGCTTGAATGGTATTCTGCCCTTGTCCCTATTCTGCATCCACCTCCAGCTGAGTATTGTCTGGAATGTTTTGATTAACTTCAATGAAAAGTATGTTGAGGTGGTCCACTGCTTGTTGAATGAGTCCCCTATCACATTCCAACAGTTCAGGAAGCATACCTAGGTTGTCCAACCTCTTCTTACCCATATGTGGTGGATTGAAGTTGTCGCCCCCTTCCTTTTCCAAAATCATCTGCATCACCCCTTGCAAAGTGATCCATGTGTACTTGTTCAGTATGGGATCAAACCACTCATAAGCCTCATAGACTTTCTCTATTAATTCCTCAATTTTGGTGGGGAATGATTGATATTTTAAAAACTGTATGACCTTAAAGAGTTCAAATCAAGCACATTAAGGTCTGGTGACTGTGCTGGTTGAAATTTCATTTGAATGTTGAACCCATCAGATGTGCAGGTTGCATTGAATTCCTCATCCATAGGAATCTGATGAGGCCTTGCATTGTCCCATTGGATGTTAATATCTTTAGGAAGACTTGGATGTCATTGTCTTTTGATTGCTGGTATAACATTGTTCAACAACATCTTCCTGATTTCTTCCTTGTTCACACTCTCTGTTGCCTTAGTTTCCTATACGCCTGCATTTATGTTCTTGCTTTTCTTCTTAGCCCTCTGTTGGTAGATGAATGGGAAAATATCAAACTTCCCATCATGTAGCATGTTCCCATTGCTGTCATACAATGGTTTCCCAATAACCCCCATGAACATTGCTTTGATTTTATACCTCTTTGATTGCTAACATCTGTATAGGTTTTCTTCCTTTGGTAAAAGATAGAACCTCCTAGTTTCAGGGTTCATGTAGAACCATTTCTCATCAATGTGAATATCCTGTTACATGTCAATAAAAGTTGGATTTCCAACTGCTGAAATTGGATGAATGTGCTCTAGTGCCCACTTCAGCCTTGCCACTTTGTAATTAGATGTGAGTGTTGGATGGTTTGCTGCTGTATGTGTTCTTAATCTGCCCTTTTTCTTTAGCTTGTGGAGAAATCCATGGGAGATTTTGAGAGCAGCTGCATAGCTCCTCTCTGTTGTCCTTTTGTACAAAGGGACAGACTGCAAGAACTCATCTGATATGTCCCTAGGTTTTGGACCTGTTTTGCCCAGTTTTTTGCTTCTGACATCAATTACATTCCCTTGAGCTATGCTTTCCTTAACAAATTTCCAAACCCTTTGTGATGTGCTTCTGTGAATTCCATACTTTCTTGCAATGTGTGACAAAAATCCCCTTGTGAGTTCCCCCTCATGCATGTTGAGTAGAAAATCATCTACCATTTGCCTTTTTGTTTGGACAGTAAGTTGCTTTCTGCTTGTTAGTTGTGCTTGTGCAGTGTCTGATGTTCCTCATCATTGTTGTCCCCTTCTTGGTCACTATTATCCCCTTCAGTGAAGTCTTCTTCCATGCTTTCATCACCACTCATGTACTGATATGGTCCCTCATTGAGTAGTTGTTCAATATCAAAAAATTCTTCCATGTGTGTGGTCCCCTCTGTTTTTTTTTTTTTTTTTTTTTTTTTTTTTTTTTTTTTTTTTTGCAGATGGTGAATGAAGGTGATGAAGTTTTTTGTGAAGACCTCAAAGAAGCGGAACCCTAATGCTGCCTTTAGTTTAGGACTAATCTTAGTTTAGGCAGTGTATATTTTGGACTAATTATGTTAGGATTTGATGGGGTTTGTTTTTGAAGAAACAGAATTCTTAATTTTCTAAGCCAAAGAGGCTTATGGTCTGTATTTAATGCTAACTCTATGGTAGGTGCCCTTTTATATGACACTTGAATTGTTTTTAACTTGCTGAAATCGTGAATGAATGTGTGAAAAGTTTATGAAATTTGAAAATTTTCAAAGTTTTGGTGGAAATCTGAAAATTTCAATTTTT